AGAGAGAGAGAGAGAGAGAGAGAGAGAGAGAGAGAGAGAGAGAGAGAGAGAGAGAGAGAGAGAGAGAGAGAGAGAGAGAGAGAGAGAGAGAGAGAGAGAGAGAGAGAGAGAGAGAGAGAGAGAGAGAAAGAGAGAGAGAGAGAGAAAGACAAGTGTGTGTAGCTAAGAGTCAGCGGCGCGGGAGAGGCGCGACGAGGGAGAGCCTCTTCATCTCCTGGGCGACGCGCGGCGCGAGAAGAACCCGCGGAAGAGCGAAGGGAAGGAGCCGGCGTGAGCGAGAGACGTCGGGAGAGCGACGAGGATGCTCTCGCCGCAAGGACGAAGATGGAGAGGCGAAGCGCCGCCGAGCTCGTGTCGTAGGCTCGACTTGTGTGCTCGCAGCCACAAACTACCCGACCACCACGCAGCACGGATCCACCACGAAACTGTAGTAGTCTCTCCTCGTTGCTCACCCTGCCACGTGACGCTACTCCAGGACACGGTCCCTCTTGTCCCCTGGCGATCCCTGCGATTTGACGCGCGCCGACTCTACCGGGGGGCTTTTGTTGGGGGACCGCCTCGAAACTCGAATTCTCAATCAGGAGAGCGGATTTTCGATACGTGAGAGGATCCCGGAAGGATGGAAAATTTCGAGGAGACTATAATTCTTTAAATTCAGTCTCTCATGCCACCGCTAATGTGTACCGTTGGAGCCTGAAGAGGAAGTCTTCTAAGAGGGTTCGTCTGGAGATGCTGACATTGAGCTCGCCGTGGCATTGCGTGACGGATTGGATAAAATAGCAAATAGAAGAGGTCGAGTACGGAGCGACGCGCTTTGAGTTTCATTGGAGATTACCGTCGTATCACTGATGCCCGCCTCTTTCTAGCGAGAGAAGAAATACACGAGCGAAAGAAGAGAACATGCGACATTGATATCTTTCCACCAAGAAATAATATAAACGGAAGCAAGAAACGCTCGCGAAACGATTTATTTGAATGAGAATCGGCTTAAAAAAATTTTACTACGTTTTAACATATTAAGATTAAGCTCCTTGGCCCATTTAAATTTATACAAACGAACGCGAAAGAAGAGAAAAGGTGCTGTCTCTCTCTCGAGAGAGCAAGTGGAGTATTAGGATTCAGTCATAAATCCATGATAGAAACTTCGATTTTTGAACATAACTCCTTTTACGCGAGGAAAGTGTAAAGGTTTTATCACAATCCGATAATTGAAAAGTGCAAGGTGCGATTGGTTCTTCAGTCTTGAACCTTCGAAACTGGCGTGGACATAAAGACGAGTACTTGAAGATTTCGCGATGTAAAGTAAATTTAATACTACGCATTAAGATATCGTCGATAATTAACTCATGTCGGGTGTTTAATTAATTGATCGAAAAATCGCGACGGGGAATAGTGAATTAAGTCCCAAAATTAACCGGCGTCTGCCGGCGCGTCTATTACAATGGTGATTCCGAGGAAAACCGCAACGGCTCGCGTCCATCATCGTTCCTGACAAACCATCATTCACGTGCTGCGAGGATCGTCGATCATCTGGCTGCAGTGTCTACGACAACCGATGAAGTTTATCGCATGGCCTGCCGTGTTCAGTTGACATTTAACAGGTTAGTGCTGTAGTTTTTTTTTTTCAATGTTCACTCTTCAACATCGATTTATTGTACCGAAAATTGCAAGTTATTGAAATAAACAAATGTGTCTTGTGGTCAATTTTTATAAACGGAGATTTAAAATTATATCAAAGTATTTAAAATAGACTTACGAATTAATTTATTTATCAAATCGATTTTGCTATGGTAATTATTTCTTTAAATAAATTATTGATTTTTTTATTTCAATAAGAAAATTATTTCCTGTTAAATATGTCTGTGTCAATTTATCTTTTTTAACAAAACCAATATATTGGAAAAAGCAATATGTTTGACTAAATTTATTGTTTACTAACGTAGTGCTAACAATTTATGTAACAATTAAACTTGCAATATTTAAAGAAACGATAAATTGGAGAGTTTTATATCTTTGCCCAATTCTTCGTATTATCATTTCGGCTGCTTGTTATTAAAGTTATACGAACTGCATGTATGACAAATTGCCGACCATAATTAAGACTTACCATCGTGCAACTTACTCTTGCAAAAGTTGACATGGGTTCGATCCAATTACGTATCGATTATGATTTATATCATATTGATACCAATTACGATATAAATCATTTTTTAATACCGCGGACTCATTCCATATCAATTAGCGAAATTTCGAGCATCGATCATTCGAGCATTCGAAACGACCATCTTCGATTTGGTTGAATCATTGGTCTCAATTCAAAGGTGAAACGTGAAAGAATATTTTCTCTTATATAATGTTTTCTCGTGTTTAGGAAGATTTTTATTAAACAAACATTTCTAAATATCAAAATTCAAAAATCAAACAATTAAATCGTTGCGTATTGACACAACTATTGTTTCTTTTATTCACATTTTAGACAGATTTTATAATAACATTATGCACGAATAAAATGTATTATACACAATTATACGCAATTATATATTCAATAATATATAATTATACATGAAATTTTGTAATGATAAAAAGAAAAATTTATTTCACATTTCTAATTTGATTTTTATGATTTTTAATTTATTTTATGTTATTTAGATAAAAAAATAACAAATGAACGTGGAATGATTTTATATAATAAGACATTATTTTCATATAATGTGTTGCAAAAAGCATATATATTAACATAATCTTAATTTTTTCTTCGAATACTTAAATGATATTTAAATTTTATCTTTATTTTTAAGATATCTAAAAAATCAGGGAATGTATTTTGATCATTAATTATGAAATTTATAATTTTGGTATCTTAAGTTTCAAAATTCTAGTTATCTCGAACTTAGTTATAATGACGTAAGTCAAATCACATTAGTGTAACTGTAATGCTTATTTACGACAAAATATGCATCAACTCTCTAAACATGGTATCTTATTCTTGAAAGATAAAGCGCTGCTACGTTGTACTTTCGTTCATTTCGTATCTGGAAGGAAATAAATAATTTTTCCCAATGAAGTTGGGAAAACTAAATTAAAAAAGAAATTAATCCACTTTGATCATGTGTTTGTAAAATCATTATTAATCAAATATTAATCTAGATATCACATTGCGTATATCTTATTATTTTTTTTTTCTTTAATTCGAACATGAATAATTTTCTATACATTTCATTATGATTCTGAGTTATCATCACCGAAGTAGGCCAGTCCGACAAATTTTATTATCCTATTATTCTGATAATGATTTTTATGGTGAAAAAGGGAACGCTCAACGGACTCCGAGCAATTACATATCTCGATATTACATCGGCACCGTTAAAAAAATCTCGACTGTTATATATCGATACCGAACACCCGGGTGTCCCGATCTTCGGCTAATTAGCATTTCTCAAATTCGTCGTTAAAATAAATCCGTAATAACCGAAGAAGGTTCACAGTGATGATGCATTTTTCGTGAATTCCGAGATTCTTTTGCCCTCATTTTCAGACGAGGGAGTGATCCGAGGATTACCCCTCCCTCGATACGCGATCTCTGATCTCGCGATGCGAGATAGAAAACGGCCTCGCAAGGTCGCGTAGAGACTCTGCTCTCGCTCTGTAGCCTGCACTCATCCGCTTTATTCCCGTAAAATAAGACGAGAGCGAGATTCCGATGCACTACCGAGCCAGGCTGAGGTCCGATGTGCATAGAGAGGAGCAGGTCCGCTTGCCTCGTCTAATAGAACAGATGGCCGTCTCGGCGCCACGCCCCGATGCTCCAGTTCCCTCGATCTTGGCCTCGTCTTGCTGCTCCCCTTGTTCGTTTTTCGTCTGTTCTTCCGACAGCTTCTTCAACGAGCGAGTCTTAAACTCGTTCGATGCGCCGCGCGAGGAGGATGCAATTATCGAGATCGAAAGTTTGATTAGTAGACCTTGCATTTATATTTCTCGCATATTCCACTCATTTCTCATTGAATCCTGTGTGGTACTACTAGTCTTACCGGTATTACTAGTTCGAATTGATGCTATTTATAGCATTATGCTAATTAACAATGTTTTTTTTGGAATGGAACAAAATAATGAAAAATAATTTATAATGTAAAATAATTTAGTTTATTATCATGATAATGATTTACGAGCATACAAAGTACAAAATGTAAATTCTATAATTTTAAATGGCTGCTATTTTACATCCAAGAATGTTAATTGCTTTGAAAAAAAAAATAATGACTATTGGTTAAAAACAGTCGATTACGCGATTTTTTAATTCTCTTGAATCCTAATCAAATTTTTGATTCTAATCAAATTTTTGATTTTTGATTTTTGATGAATTATTTTGCAACGTAAGTCATTAAAATTATTAGATGCCACAGTTTCCGTTAATCCTGAGTTTTCTTTCATGTTCATTCTTTCATTTTCTCCAGCTATATATTTTTCTATTCGCATATTCCCGTATTTTTTTTAATACGACTGCATCACGTTTGAATGATTATTTCCCCGAAAATATAGAAATATCAATCGACATAATTAACGAAAGGATTTCTCATCAAGAATACCTTACTTGTTTCCCACATTGTTTCTCTTTGAGAATAAATCCCACCTTCATTCTGCAGAAAATGACGGAATCAAAACTGCGTAACGCATTTTATTATTAAAACACACAATAGAGAATACAACGCGAATAACTTACCAGAGTGGCTTCCGTATCATCTTACAAACTTGAATGCTAGGAACGTATCCTTGAATAGATTTCACGGTCTCTCGTGGGAACTCGTAGGAACGTAAAATCAGGAACAGCAATGCATCTCGATCTCCCTCGTTTTCGCCGACGCGATAGAGTACATCTCATATTTTTATGGTTTCGATTTTCTCACTTTGCGCTCGACTGGTTATATCGACGCGTTATTATCTGTAAGATTGTCTCGCGTCAGTCGCTACGAGAAAAATGAGCATCGCGAACTTAATACCTTAAGTGGAGCGAATCGATTATTCGAACTATTACTCTTGTATTTGTATTTGTAGCCGTCGTTTTTGCTGAAGAACTCGACTGAAACCAGTCTTGAGACACGACACGGTTTAATAATCAAATCTTCAAAGAATCAATTTGATCGTTTGTTACGTCACATTTGCAATTACAAGTCAGTTGAGTTACTTTACAGATGAAATTTGCTTGAAACTTCGGCCTGACTTAGTTTCTCACGATTCAAGTATCGATTCTTGAAAGATAATGCATACGTAATAGTTTTATCTCACAACATTTTTTTACGGAGATAAGAAAGGAACAATTGCTTGTGTAAAAAACTTAACTTATGAAGAAGTCAATTTGTTATGTCTCAAAAAAAATGTGTAATTTTAATTAAAAGAAAAAAAACAGATAATAATAATTAAAAAAATCTTTTATATATGATATCGAAACCAGCAACGACAACTTTACACGCACATACGCGCATGAAAAACATATATTAACCGTAATCTTATTTTTGTGGCAACAATTTTGCGCGAAGTTATCTTTATTATTGCTGATTTCCATACGAAAGCTGCAAGTGATTGTTGAAAAAAGAAATAAGCATTGTAATCCGTACCATATAAGATATTTCATATCTTACGTCGTACGAATTTTCCAGACACCTATACCGCAACGAGATGTCAAAAGCTCAAATGTTCGAACACAGATTTATTGCTCGTCAGCTTGGAAAAGGTGACAATACACGCGGATGTGAACGCTTTCACCGGCGCTGTATTCATAGAACATTGAAACAGGTTACCAGTTACTTAGCAATACACAAAAGAAAATATGAAGGAACTTCTCGAATCAAAAATTAATCATGATTTAGCTTTTTTTAACTTATTAGCCATTAGGCGTCAATATTTCTAAACATTTTCGCGTGTTACATTAAATTTTATATTTTACTATAAAAGAAAACATTATTTAACGTCATATTATATCTAATGACGGATTGTTTAAAATTATATTTGCCAATGCAACTTTACAACAAATTTGATTAATTACATTAGCCAACGATTTTAGCAATCCGTTATTGTAACATCATGCTTTCACATTTGTGTGAAAGAGATAACAATTAACAATCAAAACATTTAATTTAAAAGAATTATTCGTCGAAAAGAAATTAAGTAAGAAAATTTTAATTTTTACTTATATAATTGAAGGATTAGTGTGTAAATATAAAATGTACGAGTACGAATTATTTCCTTTGTTCTATTACATCTTCGTCAGCTATTATATAAATATGCCAATATTTTTTCTCATATTAACGGTCTATCTGCTGTTCCCCCGTTTTCTGTTCGTCAAAGTGACAAGTATACTCCGCTAAATGAAAGATCATTATCCCTCTCCACGCAAAACGATATCTGCCATTGCGTTCACCGTGTGTCTTACATCGTAATAATATATTTGGCGATATTATCGCGCGTGGTAATATCGATGTCTTCTTTAAGACGCGTCAGATGGTTCATATAAGGTACTACCACACCAAGTCATATTCAACCGCAGGAGTTATGGCCTGAAAAAAAGAAAAAAAATTGAGAAAGAATCCGACATAATATTCTACGGTTA